TTGTCGAATGAAAAATTACCAAACACCATCAGAACCACGCCTCCGTCAGATCTGTAAGATTCTGATTGGATCAGTGAAAGTAGTGTGTTATGTCTTTTAACGCTACGTGAGATCAGTCCTGTTGGAACATTTAAAGTCATAGTACTTATTATATTCTATAGGATTATAATAAAGTAATTAATATTTTGATTTCACAGGTCGGTCACATCTTATTTATTGACTAACACTTTGATGGATTAGCTTTATTAAAATAGAGTTCTTTGATTAATTAAAAGAAAAGAGTTCATTCTTCATTCTTCTGTTGAGCTGAAAATAAGCAGGTTAGAAGGAATGCACGAGACCTTGAGACCATATCTCATGCAGACTAGTCTTTTCATTCTGTTACAAAACCCATAAAAACCCTAAAATAGACGTTGTTTTGTAGTGCTTTATATCATAATAATTAATATTAATGATAATGTCTGAACCTCGGATTAGGGAGTTTGTATTCCCGTGTGTTTTATTTGAGCACAGAGCAACTAATGGTTAAATAATGAAGCACTAAATGTAAAGTTGAGTGATACTTTGGTGTTTTAGAAACGTAGGAGCAGCTCTGACTTCAACACAGCAGACGAAGACAGCAGCAGATGAATGCATTTAGTTAGAAAAGACAACCGTCCAATAAAAAGTTATGCAGATCTGTTAGGTTAAAAAAAACAAAGAGGGTATCGGCTCGCAGCTTGGTGCTGACTCTGCATCCAGCAGGAAACAGAAAGAAGACTTTGAGCTCAGCATGACAAAGGGAAATGCCTCCTGCAGGTGTGAATGTTAAATTCATGAATGCACATAACGCGGATCATTATCACACACTGGAAACTGAAGGAAGCCAGCGGACACTCTGGACTTTGAAGGTAAGACCGAGCGATGGAAGGTAGATGATGTGCTTCTATAATCAGGATGAGGATTAAACGGAGCATCCGTGTCAGCCTGGCACAAGTCTGACTTCAGGAATTCAAAGGAGGAATCTTCTGCGGCTTTTGCGGACGTCAACTCCAGAGGAGGAGAGAGGGAGGATGGATTTGCATCTCATCCTTTTGAAACGGAAGGCAAACTGAAGTCATCACACATTTAGGAAATTCATTTCCCATAAAAACATAAAGTTTGGTGAAGTTAACTTATTAGCCTGTGGCCCAGCCTCCTCCCACACGTTCCTATGAGTGGAATTATGTGTGTATGGATGTACGGGGGCGTGCATGAGTGACTGGTCAGAGGGGGAAACAGATGATGGGGGATGGTGGAGCAGAGAGAGATGGTAGCAGTCTGGTGGGGGATGGGGTCAACAGAAACAGGGTGGAGGATGGAGAGAAAAGGTGGTCCACCGCTGCCACGACGTTACGGAGGGAAGCATCAGAGTCATTAGAGCTCAGCTCACACACTTGTTCTGCTGGGTTCGGTTATCGGGGCTTGTCGGGTCAGACGTCAGGTGACTCTGGAGTGGAGAATAAGGAGTGGTAGCAGAGGTTTCATCCAGCCGTGGTGTGCTGAGCTGGTTAGGGTTAGGGTAGCCTGTGCTGGACCGCCACAGATCCTCACCAGAGGAGCTGCTGTTCAGAAACGTCACCAACAGAGCCTGGCTGAGGCTAGTTGGGACTAACAGACGTAACATTATGACCAGGTACGGGCGAAGTACAAATGTTACAATGGTTCCCCTGCGCTGTCCCGGGTACACTAAATATGAGATTGATATGTTGAAATCCAGCTGTACCTGATGAGACCCAAACTGCTCTTCCTGGGGGCGGGGGTCCGGTCTGATGGACAGGAGCTATCGCTGGGGAGTCCAGCTGAGTATTTTACCTCCAATTCACAGTAGAAGTGTAAATAACGCTGAGATTTTACGTCTTCATAGGTTTTTGGCCTTCTTGACCCCGCCTCTAAGTTTTCCCACAGCCTCTAACCATCCTTCACTGGTGGAGCAGTGGTGGAGGCAGACCTTCGGAGGGTTTTATGTGTGCAGGTTTTAGTGATGGATGGGGACATCCTCAATGTCATGAAGGTAGTTGGGACTGGCGTCTAAATCATGGTATTAAAATACACACAGATGTGTTCTGTTGATGCGGAAACAGCAGAACTACTGCAATAATAAAACAGAATAACCGAATGTGAGAGTACGAGTCCTTAGCCTATTAGTGGTATTAATCTACCGTACAAGGACATCTGTATAAGAGCCTTCTCTCTGCTCAGGCACACTAACGTCTGCATCTGCCTGCCCACACGGCTGCAGCAACCCACACACACACACGATGAAGGCCGGTCTCGTTTCGTGTAAGCTCCACCGTCACAGTCATCACATAGACTTGTCTCAGGCAACAGGCTCCCAGGAGTGTTTTTACTCTGACTCTAAATGTGTCATTCTGATGGCAAACACACAGGAGGTGATAAACGTCACTAAACATTTTCAGTTTTGCTCATAAAACACATCGATGCTACAAAGCCGGACTAAGTAAAGGCTTTCTACAAAGCTTTGTGCAGGGGTAGCAGTGACACATGAATGTTTCGGGGGCAAAGATCCTCCAAATAACCTGCTGTCGTCGGCCTGCCTGAAGACGCAGACACACGGCATCTAACGGCAACACCTCCACACGTCCAACAGGAGCCTGAGTGTAAGCAGCAAGACAGGACTGAGTGTGTGGGAGGGTCGGGGACATGCAGGCAGACACGAACACAAAACACATATAGGTGTGAGGGAAGCACAGTGTGTGTGTGTGTGTGTGTGTGTGTGTACATGAGTGTGTGTGTGTGTGTGTGTGTGTGTGTGTGAGTGTGTGTGTGTGTATACATGAGTGTGTGTGTGTGTGTGTGTGTGTGTGTGTGTGTGTGTGTGTGTGTGTGTGCGTGGGTGCATACATGACTGTGTGTGTGTGTGTGTGTGTGTGTGTGTGTGTGTGTGTGTGTGTGTACTTGAGTGTGTGTGTGTGTGTGTGTGTGTGTGTATACATGAGTGTGTGTGTGTGTGTGTGTGTGTGTGTGTGTGTGTGTGTGTATACATGAGTGTGTGTGTGTGTGTGTGTGTGTGAGTGTGTGTGTGTGTGTGTGTGGGTGCATACATGACTGTGTGTGTGTGTGTGTGTGTGTGTGTGTGCGCGCGCGCTTGCATGCATGTGCGTGTATGTGGCTGTGTGCGTGTGTGTTTGTGCATGCGTATGAGTGTGCATGTGTGTGTGTGTGCATATGTGAGTGCATACATGAGTGTGTGTGTGTGTGTGCACGCATGCGCTTGCATGCATGCATGTGTGTGTATGTGGCTGTGTGCGTGTGTGTTTGTGCATGCGTATGAGTGTGCATGTGTGTGTGTGTGCATATGTGAGTGCATACATGAGTGTGTGTGTGTGTGTGCACGCGCGGGCTTGCATGCATGCATGTGTGTGTATGTGGCTGTGTGCGTGTGTGTTTGTGCATGCGTATGAGTGTGCATGTGTGTGTGTGTGTTTGCATATGTGAGTGCATAAATGTGTGTGTGTGTGTGTGTGTGTGTGTGTGTGTGTGTGTGTGTGTGTGTGTGTGTGTGTGTGTATGTGGCTGTGTGCGTGTGTGTTTGTGCATGCGTATGAGTGTGCTAGTGTGTCTGCATATGTGACTGCATACATGAGTGTGTGTGTGTGTGTGTGTGTGTGTGTGTGCGTGTGCGTGCGTGCGTGCTCCAAAGGGGAGGAGCAGAAATTCCTCCCCAGCCACAATTAACCCAGACACAGAAGACGATCGCTACGCTGCGAGCACGCAGCGCTCTGGCACAACTTCACTGCTTTCGGCTCAAGCCGTCTTCCAAATGTAGGCCACTGGCTTGCAGTCTAAAAGAAGCTGCATTTCTCCTGTTTGTGCAAAAACAACACATCCGAGGTGTGTGTCGGGACGAGACGCAGGCCGTCTCTCACATGGACAGCTGCTCCTTTGAAGATGATTGGACAAGTTTCACCCGATCACACCTCGTCTGAAGTGACACGCTCAATGAGCTGCTCTGTTTCATCTAGCAGAATGAAAACGTTCACGCGCACACACTCTGAGCCTGAGGCAAACACACATGTCCACGTCAAGCCTGATTCCTCTGGAACCTTTCGTTTATGCTCTTCTAGAAATGGGGATGCTGTGAGGATTATGAGTCAACTGCAGAAAAAATGATTCAGTAGGAAAACTTCCATTTTTAACATCAATGTCCAAATATCAGGAAGTAGGAGTCCAAATCCTGCCGTCTTCTGCTCCGTTCTCCTCTGGCTAACTTCTAGTTCCTCAAACAGAAGCACCAGAGCTTTTTCCCCACAGAGATCGACTCACAGGGCATTCATTTATACTAGTGACCACTGCAGATGTGTTGGAGAACTGAGTGAACTTGGTCTTTAATTGTTTCAGATCAGCAAAAATGCTCGAGTAAAACAGTTTTCTACTGATGACTTTGTTTTTAATGAAACAGAACCGTCTAACCAACCTGATCTCGTGTGTAAAGGTAACTAAATCTACAAGCAGGCTGTGACACCCTTGTTGTTTGTGAGGAACACTAACGTAGTTGTGACCAGTCCTGGTCCTGGAAGACCACCATCCAGCATGTTTTAGTTGTTTACCTGCAGAACTCATGGTTCCATCCGTTACTGCAGGTGATCCAGGTCCTGAAGCCAGCAGAGCAGCTCCAGACCATCATACTACCACCGCCATGTTTTAGTTTGACTCCAGATGGAACAGGGCGCACACCTTCCAGAACATTCTGCTTTGGTCCCTAAAGTTTTGGAGCTCATCCAGATGTTTTTTTATTTGTTTTGTTTGGCAGATGCGAGTTGGGTCTTTGTGTTCAACTCCAATGAATTCATGTTTCCAGGAGAAACGACAAAAACATCTAAGTCTAAGTTTATGAACAGAATATGTTGGTCCGTGTGACCCGCTGGAGGAGCTCGCAGTGGAGAACATCTGAGAGTAAAACAGTACAGAAGCGATCTGATGGTGATCATTGCCCTCTGCTCTGCTTTTGTGACACTTACGACAGTTTTCTTCATCGCTGTTGTCTGAGCAGTCGTCGTCATCGTCGCACCTCCAGATGGTGGGGATACACCGTTTGTTGTTGCACTGAAACTGTCCGTCCTCGCACTCATCAGTGGCTGCAAGAGAATCACAACAATCAGCGGATGTGCGTCCGGAGGGCTGAGCGGCGGCGGCGGCGCGGTACCCGGATCGTCGTTAGCGGGTGACTAATTGATGCAGCATCCCCGCGGGTCAGTGGGGGCGTGATCGGCTGTGTTCTCTCGCGGTTCTGCTTCATCAGGTAATATTAAAGAGAACCAGAGGAGGCCCGGGGTTCACACTTCTCAGACCCAGCTATGCAGTGCTCGGAGCCGGGTACAGCTCGGAGGTCCTACACACAGTAACGCTGCTCAGTAACGCTAACACACACACACACACACACACACACCCACGGGGAACCAAAGGACGCGCTCGTGCACTAACAAAAGAAATAAGAGGCTGAAGGTGGCATTTTCTCCTCTGGCTGACTGGCGCACGCGCGCGCTAAGTACCGGGAGCGCATCTCCTCAGCCCACCACAGCGTTCGGGTCTGGAACCAGCAACGGGAATAAAAGCACAAAGGCACATAGATGAAGAGACGTTTCTGACCTTCCGGGACAGGGAGCCCGAGGAGAAGCAAACACAAAAGTAGTAACGTCCTTATATCCGTCCACATCTCCGGAGGCGGTGACGGAGCTCGCTCACGTCCACTAAACAAAGCCCGAAAGCGGCTCGTGCGGTAGCGCTGCGACGCCGCGGTGCGACCTCGCGGTGACGACACGGCGCGGGGCGGGGCCTCAGCTTCCCCGAGAGGTCCATCCGCTCTCATTCACACCAATGGACTTTTATTCCACAAAGCACAATAAAAACATGTAACTTCATTTAGAAATAGAATATAAATAATAATGTCAACATGTGGGAAAAGGGAGTTTCTGAAGGAATGAAAGGCTTGTAGATTTGACTTATGGTAATCAGGATTAATAATGATAATAATAATAATAATAATTATTATTATTATTATAAATTAAATTAGTTTAGTTTATTTCAAACAAAGAAAACATAAATAATTAAAAAAAAAATACCACAAACAGAAAAAATACATATCATCCCTTCTTCTGTGTTTGAAAAGGAGTAGGCTGAAGTGGAAACTTATATATCCCTACCCCTTTATACAAGTAATTTTTACTTGTTTATTAAATCTAACACAAAACCTACATTAAAACAAACAAAATGGTACAAGTCACCAAAAACCACCAAATTATATGGAGAAAAAAAAGAAAAGAAAAATAAAACATCTTTTTACACTTGATACAATTTACTTTTCCTTAGAATAAAGGACACCCACATAAATCATCTATTTTCCACTATATACTTGTCCAGAGTACACACTCTGAACAACAATAATAATAATAATAATAATAATGATGATGATGATGATGATGATGATGATGATGATGATAATAATAATAATAATAATAATAATAAGCAGCACCTTTCAGTGGATGTAAGGACAGTTTACCGTAATAAATCAAGCAAAGAAGAAATCAAGTTGTTCAGCAGACACACGGGACAGAGAAAGCTGCACATGATGAATAAACAATAAAAGACTGCCAGCCAACAATTACAAATCCATGTTTTTATGTGGATTTTTGGGGCCTTGAAACAACAGAATTATTATATTGGAAACTTTCCATCCTGCTGTTTTTCAGTAAGTGCAGATCTATCCGAACAAATCTGATCTCTAGAGGAAACGGTCTTTTCTTCTGCGGTGCCTTTCCCCGACGGCCTGAGCTGTATGGATGTTCCTTCCACTTAGGGAGTAAAATCAGTTTTCAGCCATGACAAAGTGGAAATAACGGTATAGAGGTGGGCACACACAGGAGCAGTCAGAGGATTCAAGGTCAAGCAATGTAATACCCCAGTTACACCTTGTGATGCAAGCCACCCAGCACTGTTTCCCAGCGTCCTACAGGATCCACCACAGATATCTGGATCTCTTCATTATAAACAGCAGAAGGAAAGACAACAGGCACATTTTACATGCAAAAGGAGAAAGAATGAAGAACAGAGTAAATTCAGTGTGGCAGGAACCACCTGTTTGACCATCCGCCACAAACTCTGGTGAAACAGCACGTCCTGTTCAACAACCCATTACTAACGTTCAGCCTGAAGCCAAAATCTGATCTGAGACTCATCAAAATGCAAATCATGCAAACGTTAAGGTGAACTGTAAGGCTGCTTTAAAGCAGCAGCAAAAGGACACAGTTCCAGGGATTAAGTAACAACAACAACAACAACAACAACAACAACAATAATAATAATAATAATAATACTGAACAAAGAGTAGGTGCAGATATGTTAAACAGGAAGGGTTCCATTCACCTCTGCATTCCAGGATGAAGAAGGCTGTTGTTCCATCCATCCATCCATCCATCCATTTTCTTCCGCTTATCCGGAGTCGGGTCGCAGGGGCAGGAGCTTAAGGCGAGAAGCCCAGACTTCCCTCTCCCCAGCCACTTGGGGTAGCTCTTCCAGGGGAATCCCAAGGCGTTCCATGGCCAGGTGAGAGACACAGTCCCTGCAACGTGTCCTGGGTCTCGCTTTAGGTCTCTTTCTGGTTGGATGTGCCCGGAAAACCTCACCAGGGAGGCGTCCAGCCGCATCAACTGGCTCCTCTCGATGTGGAGGAGCAGCATTCACTGTTGCATCTGGATCTCCTTTCACTAGTTTGTGTGAGCCAGGGACGTGGCACGGCATGTTGAGGGGTTGGTAAACAAATTGCAAATACAATGTGTTGTGTGGTGGGGTGAGTACTCCTCATCTCTATAACATCTTTGAGCTCTTCATTTCAGGAGAGGGAGCTCACCAGCTGCGGGGTATTAGCAATCAGCGGCAGCCGCAGCTTCTCAGGTCATCCGCAGCAGAGCTCTGTTTAAGAGGAGAGGGAACCGCTACACAGCGCTGGATGATTAAATACTCATGGTAGTATTTTGGCCACTCGTTCTAGGTTGCTTGGTTTCTGAGTAGGTAATTGGCTTGGAGAATTTCTTGGATTATTCTTGGACTCTTGTGTTGGATTTTTGGACTCAAGTTTTGTATCCTCTCTCCAGGATTACTGGACAATCTTCCCTGACGCTCTGGGTTTGTTGGATATTATCTTCCATCCAAGAAGCAGAACCTTACTGGATTACTCACCTGGAAAGAACCATAACCTTCCTGGTCTTCACGGTTCGCCTCTCCTCTTATTCCTCTGCCACCCTGCCTGGCTCCCTCTCCTGGACCCACCCCGTCACTCCACCTGCCCTCCTCGACCTCCTCCACCTGCAGAACTTGGACTCTCTCTGGCTCCAACTACTCTGGGTTTATTCCAGGGACACCTTTTGTTAGATTCCTTAAATAAATCATTGTTTTGAACTTTTCCCCCCGTCTTGTGATGATTCTTCATGTCGTGGGTTAAACACATTCCCAGGAACATGACACAATGAGGGTAAACAAACAATTAGAGAATAATTTTAAAGGTGTGGTTAACTGAAAACCCATTTAAAGAGCAAGTCACCCCTTACAAGAAGCATACTTCACTCCCACTTGTTTGAAAAATGCAACAAATGCTGTTGCCTAGCAGACGGAGAGGGTGGAGCCACTACAAATACAGACTCACGACATTGTGACATCATAATCTACCAGTTTACATCATAGCATACCTCTTAGCCAATGGCGATGTCAGATTTAAATTCAAATGCAGTGAAGAGTTTTTACCTGACAACGGCACAACACTGCCAGTTTCAGGCAGAAATTTAAAATTTTAACTAAAATGCACTAAAGTGCAAAACTATTGACGACTCGTGTCTGCAGCACAATTAGACACGCATTTATATAGTTTATCAGAAAAAAAATAGTTTATTTGGGGGTGACTTGCTTTTTAAATGAATAATCCTGATTATAATCGGTTACTCGGAGTTCAACATACAGGCTGAATGTCCTGGTTTTAGGAAAGTGTTTGGTCCACATGCAGACAAACTCAGGAGACACAGAATAAGTTTAACACATTTAATAGATGAAGTATCGTTTCCAGACGTCAGAGGTGCGGTGACTTAAAAGAGAAAGATAATTAGGTATGGGGGGGAGAGGGGGGTGAATTATGATGTACAGCTTACTGAGGGATTAGCTGGAGAGGAATGGAGTCGAGGGTCCAGGAGTAAACGGTTCCAACACACTGGGGAGTAGGCCGAGAAATTAACAGAGGTCAGGGAATTGTTTTGTTCAATTTTCTTACGGTGGACGGTGAAGTGGTGAATTGCAGGTGTGCAGCTTGCACACTTGCTAGTGCATCTGATGAGTAGAGTGTCACCGCGGGGCCCTCCAGAGAACAACCAGCAGACTCACAACAAGGAACACAAACAATAAAAGGTGAGAATGAGCTGAACTGGACCCAAGACCCCGACACCGACCACGAAAATAGTCTCCTGCACCTATCTGCTGCATTAGCTTCTGACAGAAAACAGATGTTGAAACTTAGGATGAGAAAAGCCTGACAGATCTACGTCGCACTGACCCTTAACATTCATGGACTCGTCCATCTGGACTCACAACGGGGAAGGCTGTTGTTGGTTTATCATCCAGGAAACAGCAGAGATTGTCCCGGCTGGTAGAAGCTGTTAGCATTAGCAACTCCTCCACGCAGCAGAACTCCTTCAGGCGTGTGTTGTTTGTGGATACATCATCGTTGTTTTAAAGCAAATTGAGTCAGTGGTGGAGTTGTAGCTGTTATCCAATCTGAGGCGAGATGTTCAAATATCAAGAAATGATTCCAAAACCTGTCGTCTGAAGCTACTTCTTCCTCCAGCTGACTTGTACTTCCTGATCGACCACTGCAAATATCTTGATTAAACATTCTTCAACACCTTTAAAAGTTTATGAATGAGATCTGATTTACAACAGAACACACTGTGACTAGCTGTTAGCCTATCAATTCAGTGAGAGCTCATCTCTGTTTTGGACTGATTGCACATCCAGATAAAGCTGTAAAGATGAGGATATGATGCAAGAGTCCCTTTTTGTCAGTAATCCGGCTTAGACTGAGAGACCATCTAAAGGCTGTGCAGGTGTTCTGGGTTCTTTAGCTGATTAGAGTGTGACGCTTTGAGTCTAGAACCTTTTAACATTATTCTGATGGTCTGAGAATTTGAATGTGAGGTTTTCATCAGCTGTTAAACATAATCATCACAGTTATAGCAAATAAAGGCTGAAATATCTGGCTTTGCGTGGAATCTGGTCTCGTACAGTAGTTTCTCCTTGTGAGCTGAACAACTGGCACAAATTAACTTTTGCGTGATGCCGCCTTACTCACCTCAGACGAATCCTGAAACGGAGGCATTTGGAGTCAGTCATTCATGCATTCATTACCTCTCGCCTGGACTACGCAAACACCCCCTCGTTGGTGTTCCGGTCTCTGCCCTGAATCGGCTGCAGGTTGTTCAGAACGCTGCTGCCAGGTTCTTGACGGGTGCACACCGACGTAGCCACATTACCCCTGTCCTGGAACATCTTCACTGGCTCCCGGTCATCTTCAGAGTGCAGTTTAAGTTACTGACTTTTGTTTTTAAAGCACTGGCACCTTCCTACCTCTCTGCCCTTCTCACTCCATATGTGCCCACCCGCTCGTTGAGGTCGGCTGACCTTTTGCTGCTGCACACGCTGCGGATGAGGCTCAAATCGCGGGGTGAACGAGCATTTGTCCATGCTGCCCCAAAGCTATGGAACTCACTGCCCATTGGAGTTCGGCAGGCTCCATCTCTGGCGGTTTTTAAATCTCGTTTAAAGACCCACTTTTACACTTTGGCTTTT